GAACGAGATCGTAGGAATGGCGTTTATAATGGGACATTCGTACGTGAGGACCAAGAGCGGATCCAGTTTCATGAAGAAGATCGCCATTAATCTTGGCTATGATTTTATCAGAAGGAACTCAAGAGGACCTTGTTATGGTCTCTCCACTCCTCATGCCTCTACTCTTGAGGTGGGTATGGTCTATCTTGTTTGATTCTATGCCCTCTTCTTTTAATGCTTTTGTATAAGCTTTGAAGTTTTGTAAATGATAAGAACAATTTTCAGGGTTTTTTTTCCTTCTTTTTTTGGGGGAATTTTACTTTGCTTGTGACACAATTAAGATGCGCCTTTCAAAGAATGTTCTTTTGTAAACTTATTAAAGGCCTAATTAGGTAATTAATTAATTAGAAAAACATGTCGAGAAAGGGAAGGCAGCAAGAGAGGAGAGAACAAAGTTTCTGCTCAAAACTCAGAACTGAACCCAAAAAAAAAAAAACAGACAAAGACCGAAGGGCATATGATTCTCTCATCATCCATGTCTGTTTCTTTTGATTTCTTTTTTCTTTTGGACAGGCATTCTCCCCAATTTCGTCCAATCTTCTCTTTGGAAGGCTTCACAGATACGCATCTCGATAAGTAGATGCGTATATCTATCTATATATATACACTTTGCGTGTTCTTGAGGTTGGGTAAGATCTAAACTCTCAGGCAATGCTGGACGATCAACTTAACTTGGCTTCTGGTCTTGCATACCTGTGACTAAGAGGGGCAAGAAATGAGGAGAAACCTAAATTTGTGGGCTTTGTCTCTCGTGCTCGTCCTTTTCTTTGGTGGGTTGTCCTCTGTTTCAGCTAAACCTCCTCCTGCTAGTGAGTTCTTACAACCTTAATTCCTTAACTTTTGTACATTTGGGTCAGTTTTAAAATTGATAAAGCTTCTAAATTTCCTTTTGGTTCTTCATCAAATTTCAGAAATCGTAAGTGGGCTCGTGTCAAATGTCGCATCCATGCTCTGGAAATGGCTGTGGTCTCTCCACTCCTCTGCCACCACCACCACCACTACAAAATCTGGTAATGACCCTACGAAAATTCAGAAAACCCCACTCATTTTGTCCACATTTTCGGATCTGGGTCCTCGATCTTTATGTTAAAGAGTGGATCTTTGTTCGCGAAAGTTGATATTTTTTTAGGTCAGAGTTCATACCCCCGTATAACTCCAAAAGAGAACAAGCTTGAATTCTCATTTCCCCAAATAAAATCCTCCGGATTTCGAGTGATTCGGATATTCCAATCTTTGTGTATTCCCTATATTGATTGAAAATATTAAATTTGATGACTTCGATGAAATCTCGGGAAATCGGATTCCGTAGACTCAAAGAGGGGTTTCCATCATATGAATCCAAAGTTTGGGGTTGATTCTTGTGATAATGAAACTTTGTGGGTTGAAAGTGGATTAATAGTTTTTTTTCCTTTAACAAATGTGGCAGCTGTTTCTAGCCGTTCGATGGTGAAATTTGAAAGTGGGTACAACATAGAAACAGTGTTCGACGGAAGTAAGTTTGGGATTGAGCCATATGGTGTTGAAGTCTCTACCAATGGGGAACTTCTTGTCTTGGATTCTGAGAACAGCAACCTCCACAGGATCTCCATGCCACTTTCCACATGTAAGTGTTCAAGCCCCGGAGATTCTTTCTCTGTTTTTTAGTTCAGCAAAATGAGATTCTTCTTTCAGATTCCAAAGTTTCTTTCTTTGCCAAAGCTTGGGGATGAGGTTTGCACTTTAGTTCACGACAAGACTCTTAGCTTTTCAATGTTACGTTCTGTTTCGCTAAGTAGTTTCTTTGCATATCTGCGCTCTCTCACACACACACACACACATTCTGTGTTAAATTGAATTGGCCGCTGCTATCTTGAACTTCACTCATCGTTTGCCTTTTGCTTTTGTTCTTTTTGTTGTCTCATTTGCACAAGCTTCTTCCAGAAGGTTAACATGTTTCACTAGTCTTTAGAGTTTTGTACTTTTGCTTCTTTTCCGCTATTTTGTGTTGATTAAGACAATCTAAAGTTGATGAAGGACAATATTTGCATCTGAGTTTGATAAAAAACACCGATTGGTTCATCGAAAGGAGCAAAGGAAACTGATTGTTTTCCAGTTGTTGAAATCCTGGGGGTTCTTCCTCTTAATTCTCGTTTTCAGTAACTTGTACTGGTCTTAGAAGTAGTTTTTATGTAACCCCCCAAATCTATAAGTTAACAGATCTTGGATTCAATCTGTAAGAATTATTCTCTTCATGCACTTCAGGATTTCTCGCTATTTCGTAAGGTTTCTAAGAGTTCTTGGTTGCCATGTGAAATACTGGATTTGTAACCTTCTGCTTCACCCCAAGAGCCTTCAGTAACTCTGAACGACCTTAGATTTACTCTTGTTTATAATGCCCTGGAATGAAGAATTTCTGGAATTCTGAATATCATCCTTAAATTATTCGTCTTGAAGTTCCGGATTCTATTGTCTGGCGGATTCTGGAAAGTAGCATAGGATTCCAGTAACAGTGAAATTCTCAAATGAACCTGTAGATGGAAGACCAAAGTTGGTATCAGGCTCCACAGAAGGGTTCACAGGACATGTGGATGGAAAGCTAAAAGAAGCGAGAATGAATCGTCCCAGAGGATTAACAACAGACGACAGAGGAAATATCTATGTGGCTGACACTAACAATATGGCCATAAGGAAGATCAGCGATGATGGTAAATCACAACAGTTATTACTCCGAAACTTATTTTTTATATCTCATTCCTGTATTTTGCATAAGGCTATGATTTAAAGAAAGCTTTTATCTAAGGAGTTTCAACCATCGCCGGAGGAAGAAGAGGCAGAGGAGGCAGTGGCCACATTGACGGCCCAGCAGAAGACGCGAAATTCTCTGATGACTTTGATTTGGTTTATGTATCCGGGAGCTGTTCTCTTTTGGTCATTGATCGAGGCAACCAAGCCATCAGAGAGATTCAGCTCCACCAAGACGACTGTTCTCAAGAACCCGACAGAGATATTCATCTTGGTAGCCTCCAAAATTTCCAGATTTACCAAAAAAATGCCTTCTTAATATGAAAAATGCTTTGTTTGTTCTGTAGGAACTGCTCTCCTTATCTCTGCAGCGTTCTTCGGATACATGCTTGCATTGCTCCAGCGTAGAGTACGAATGATGTTTTCTTCGTCTCGCAATGTGAGTAGTGATATGTCTTGTTCTCTGTTTTTAAGAGACGGATTGGTTCAAAGGGGAGAGGCCACAACAAGAGCCTTAACCGGACAGAACACCACGAAATCATGGCTGAGATTAGTTCATGTCACGTAAAAGTAGATCATCGACATCCAAATGCTGTGAGAAGATATGTATGTATTGATTCAATGGCACTAACAGTTAAGTGCTTGCGTTCTGATTTGCAGGATAAAAGATATATGGTAAAACCGGGCATGCAAATGGCGCCATACCACCAACGGTATTCCACACCGGTAAGGCCGCCTTTAATTCCGCCAGAACATGAACCGGACAAACCGGACGAAGGTTTCTTCGGTTCGCTCGGTAAACTAGTGGTGAAAACCGGTTCATCGGTTTCGGAAGTTCTGTCCGGTTCTCAGAGAATGCCCCAGAACTACCAGTACCAACACCAGCAAGATCCGAACATGTGGCAGGCACAGGATAGTTTTGTTATGCCGGAAGGAAGTGAACCGAGAGTGGGTGTACCGGATAAAACCTACCTTAGGGCACAAGCAACCAGCCAGAACCGGTCTTATTACCAGCAGAAACAGGATATGAACGAGATGACGTCGTATGAGAATAACCGAGAGAAGAACGAGATCGTGTTTGGGGCTGTTCAGGAGCAAGACGGCCGGCGGGAAGCAATGGTGATCAAGGCCGTTGATTTCTCTGAGACTATGAACGATCAGCGAAATCTACGGCCCAGGATTAATTACATGGGATATTCTTCCCATGCTTTTTAATCATATGATTGGGGATATAATATATAGAAGAAAACCAACAAGTATGTATATGTGTGTCCTTAGTGTTAATCATATTTCCATGTTTACTCAGTTTTGTTCGGTTCGGTTAACGGTTTGATCAAGACCGGTTTAATTAGAACCGGGTTGGGGGCAAGTCCAGCTTTTTATTCTTGTTATTGTTTATTCTTCCCCTCTCGCTGCCGCACGAAACGCGTTCTTCTCTCGCAGCCCCAACCCCAAATCTTTTTTCTGAGAGAGAAATTTCGGGTTGGGGTTTGCAGAGAAGCGGAGGAAGGAAGATCCGAGGATCCACAGAGAACGAGGGAAATCTCTCTCTCTCTCTCCCTCTCTCTGGTCGAATCGATTGTTCGAATCGAGACCAGGTCTCGGTCGATCGATTGTTCGTTGGATCGCGAAGAGATTTCCAAAAGAAAAAAAGATGCGGCAGTCGCAAGCTTTTAAAATCCCAGAAAACGACGCCACCGACGATATGCACGAGGCGATGTTCGCGAAGAGGGGATGCTGTTTCATGTTGCCATGCCTGGGCTCATCTCAGCCGTCCGCCGCCGGATCTGTGTGGTGGCAGAGAATCAGAACCGTGGATAAATGCGAGGCCGAGGAGCGGTGGTGGTACCGCAGATGGCGGAAGACCCGGGAGTGGTCAGAGCTTGTCGCTGGGCCCAGGTGGAAGACATTCATCCGCCGCTTCGGGCGTCACCGCGGTAGCTGCGGCGGAGGGGGGATTTCGGCCCGGCAGGATCACGGGACATTCCAGTACGATCCATTTAGCTACTCACTGAACTTCGACGACGGAGGTCAAAACGGTCATTTCGACGATGGGTTTTAACTCTGAACGA